TCACATCACTTCATAAATACATAATTTACTTGTGGAGAGAGTTTGGGCTGCATATGAATACTACCGACCATTCCTTTAAGTAGATTTCAAGTCTCATTCACACGATATATAAATTGTGATAACATTTATGGTTATTGCTCTCAAATTGATGTCCAATTTATGCCATCTTTTCATTTAAGTATTTTGTTGTGTAAAATAAGATCTTAAAACTATTTCGCAGCCAATTTGATGATAGGTTATAAAATTGTATAATTGTTTATTGATTTTTAATTATTGATATATAAAAATGCATTCAATTTATGCAAATAAAAAAAATAATTAATGTTGCATTCAAACATCTTGCTCATTTTATTTATTCATAAAAATGGGACATTATATACAATTTGATTGCCAATTAACTGATTACTACTGATGATGACATTTGTATTGGTAAGTTTAAACCATTGCCTACCCGTCATATTGTGTTTTGAAATATCGTAAGGACTCGTCAACTCATTTAATCAATTACTTAAAGGATCCAAAAAAAGTGCTAAATTATGCGCTAATCAATTATATAATCATTATTGTTGTAATAATATGCAGTGGTTTTTGTTTAATCGATAATTGGCCAGTATTTCAACCATCAAGATGTGAGATGCTGGAAGGAAGGATTCTACCATCTAGCAAATAATTTGTAAAATCTCAAATAATAAGACTCATTGAGGCGCTAATTCGTCCCTTATATCGAATTCTCCTCATAAGGCTTACATACTGTATATTGAATTGATTGATATTTAGACACGTAATGCATACAACAGAAGCTGATTTCCAATACAGACGTGTATTATTATATGTATATTTAATATATAACAAACTTTATATAATTTTAAACAAATATTTCAATATTCTTTCAATATTAAAAGTCATCTATTAATACAATGGATGAACTGTCTCTAGATTTAAATATAAATAGGATAGTAGTTTAGATGGATGGCAGTTTAGACACATTATGCAGTCTTAATATAAATGTATTATATTTTTTGATATTATCATATATTTGTCTCTAAAGTTATGTTTAGTTTGATTCCTCCACTCGTTGTTAAATGTATTTATTAATAAATTATTTGTTTGTTTTACTGTAAATAAACAACTATTCTATTTATGAAGTGCTGTAACGCTCATAGAATTAATTAATTAGCGCTTGTATTGAAAATTACAAAATACTTCAATAAGCTTGTAACACTTTTTTTATATAATTATATAACCTAATAAATGACACACATATTGTGATCACAGACATCCCCATCACGTCGGATATGATATCCATTAATTATATTAAATGTAAGCAATGCTTCAATACGTAATAATTTGTAAAGGAGTTTGTGCATAAATACCATGATGATATTGCCAACAAATCTAAATTTATTATCATTGTACTTTTTGATGATATGTATTGACATGTACCAAATACAATAATTACGTTATCGTCATGTATAACGTACAAAATTAATGATAATATAACTTTTTTTTAAACTTTTTAGTAATAAGTTATTACTTTAATTTTTTTAAACTTTTGTTATAATCGAAATTTAAAAATTGTTCAGAATTTTATTAGTCTCACAAAAACCTTTCGATTGGTATACAATATGATATACTTATTCATATAATACAAGACATTTATCCCTATAAAAGTGGTCACTGTGACCAAACCCGAGGTTATCTTAGATAAATATCATTAGACTTGGTATAGTAAATTCCAATTGCCAGCTAGGTATTTTGTAAACAACCCTTTTATTACTAGAATCGTATGGAAAATATACGTAAAACCGATTACAAAAAAAGTTTATTCGTATCGCAAGTATTGAGGGATAGAAGCGGTAATATTGAGGGGAAACGGAAACTAAACGCTATAAATATGCAGAGACTTGTGGCCACTCTATTGTCTTCTGTCCTTCAATGAGAGCATAAGTTTTTTGTCATTTTTTATAATGAATATAAAGTACAGATGTTTCGAATATTAATAAATTGAATACAATTTTACGCAACACTTGTACTCATGTTTTGTCATTAAATTACTAATTAAAGATTTAAAATAGAAAAACTCGTCATTAATTTTATTATTTACTATTATGTAATGCCAAAAATGTTTCACCACAATTCAGCATTGAATAATGTGGTTTATAGGATCGTTCGGCCCCATCCCCTCCCTCCGCTCTATGGGATTTAACATGGGACTAATTCTATGGACAATGCTAGATCTATGGCAAGTCTATTGGACTCATATTAAATCTAATCTTTAAGGAATACCCGAATTGTGGTTACCGTATAGCATCGCTGTGTGCACCTTGTTTAATTTTATCAAATAATTATAATTTTTACAATGAATTCAAGCGTTAATACAATTAAATATTAACAACAAAAGAGACCAAAACTTTATAAAAGTTGAGTTCAATACTGAATTCATATTAAACTCAAAACTATTGTTAACGTAATTAATGAATGAATTAATGAAAATGAAAACAAAAATCAATTCAAGAATTGAATCAAAAAAGTGAAGAAATGCCGAAAAATAGCCACAAATTTCACGAAAGTATGTATTGTTTTGTTTAATGCTTTGTTTGACACAACACTATCACCACAACTGATCCCATGTGTGGCACACGTGGTGTCCATTTATGGCAAACAATAATCCATTTGTGGCCACAAATGAGGCGCCAATTGATATGATATATGCAGACAATGAAGACATGTGTTAAACAAATGATTGATTTAATGATTAATTGATTTCTGAATAATTAAACGATTGAATGATATTTCAGATGAGAAGGTCCTCTGTTTTCACGGACCACTTCTTTATGAAGCAAAGGTTTGCATCCATTCCTCTGGATATCCATTACTTAATATACCATTTGTTTTGATAAATAGGTTCAGAAAAGTCAAGAAATGGAGAGCAAAGAGACCAAAGAAAGACTTGTCCACTATTTTGTCCATTACTTGGGATGGAGTAAGAAGTATGACATTTACCACTCATTCAATACCTATAATTGTCTCGTTTTATCAATTATTCATTACGAGAATGTCTTCCGATAAATGTTATGCAATGTATATGTAATATGTATTTAAAGAGGGTTTGAATTATAATTAACAGTTGGGATGAATGGGTTCCTGAGGACAGAGTCTGTAAAGTAAACGATACTTCACTACAAAAGCAAAAGGAATTAACCGACGCACAGAAGTATAGATAACATTGATTTGTAATTTATAATTAGTAATCGTTTATTGAATGATTGAATTGTTTTAATAGTAAAAGTAATAAAAATAAAGCCATGAAAAAGAAGTCAATGGACCTGAAAGAGAAAGAGGCGATGCCTTTGAATGTATCGATTAGTGCAGACAAACCGAAACCAAAACCAGCGACTGTTCCGACGAGTCCTACCATTAGTTCGGAAACGAAAGAAAACACAATTGTTGTGAAAGAAGTGGAGGGACAGAGAAAGAAGAGGATTAGATTGGAAACAACCATCGATTCTGCAGATCTCATTGCAAACAAGGGTCAAGACATAGAAATCAAGATTCCAGACGTATTGAAGCAGTTTTTGGTCGACGATTGCGATTTCATGAATCAGAAGAAATTGGTTCGTTTGCCCGCAAAAGTGTCCGTCAATAGGATTATTGAAGATTATGTTAAACATAGACTCAACACAAAACTTAGTCCCTCTAAAGAAAGTGCTGTTAAAGAAGCGGTCGAAGCATACAAAGTATACTTTAACGCATCGCTTAGCAGTTATTTGTTGTATAGTTTTGAAAGAAATCAATTCAAGGATTTGATTAAAGAATCGGACGACGACTCAAAAGTATTGACAGTCTATGGAGGCATTCATTTGCTGCGATTATTTGGTGCGAAGTTTTATATAATTGAATATAACGTTGAATTTGGAGTAATTATATATTTTTTTAAAACAGTAAAACTCGGATCACTTCTCTCTTATTTAAATTTGGACGAAAAGAGTGTTCACTTGATTTCAGAACACATTCACGACTTTCTCAAGTAAATGATTGAATGAAATTGAATTGAAATCTTATTAAAACAATATTTCAAACAAACAGATATTTAGAGCGCAATCCATCCCTATTCACACCCAATGAATACGAGTCCGCGTCAGCCGATTATCTTAAGAAGTTGTCGTGAATGCTGTTTACCATTAAATCACACTTTATATTAATTTTTAACTAATTTAATCTCAAATCGTGGTATCATTTAATTGAGTTGTTTTTGAAATCATTTTGAAATAAATTGATAAATACTTTTGAAGATTAATGTTTGAAACACCAATTGATTCTGCGATGAATTTGATACTAGAATTACTTATGAAATGGAGTTTTCTTTAAAACGTTTAGTTATTATAAAGAGTTAAGAGTTATTATAAACAAATTCTAATTCATTGCTCATTAGTTGTCTTGTATTTGATCTGATTTTCATTGCTCTGGTATAACTTATGAAATGGAGTTTTCTTTAAAACGTTTAGTTATTATAAAGAGTTAAGAGTTATTATAAACAAATTCTAATTCATTGCTCATTAGTTGTCTTGTATTTGATCTGATTTTCATTGCTCTGGTATACGGTTGAAAAAATTCCCGGAATATAATAAATATTCCCAATTGGGAATATTCCCAGTGGGAATATTCCCGGAACGTTCCCACCCAAAAAGCTCACTCACCAGATGGCGCCAGTAGTAAAGTGTGTCGACCCCCACATTTTACCCCCATTTTGCCNACTTATGAAATGGAGTTTTCTTTAAAACGTTTAGTTATTATAAAGAGTTAAGAGTTATTATAAACAAATTCTAATTCATTGCTCATTAGTTGTCTTGTATTTGATCTGATTTTCATTGCTCTGGTATTTTAAAGTAACTTTTAGAGTCTGAGAAGAGATATTTGATACCCAATGATGTCACGCATTCTCTGTTTGTGAAGACATCGGTTAACCAATTGGGAGAACGAGTGCTCAAAACTGTCTATTTCTGAAAATAGAAGTTCTCAAAGCATTTCTAAATATAGTATAAGCCAGAGTTCACACTATATTATCACAATTTGTTCATTTTATATTAATTGCAATTAATTTTAATAATATTATTAAATTAATCGATGAATTCTCAATAAAAAGAAAAAGCATTTAAGAATATTTGTCTGCAAAAAAACAATAGGATAAACAATGGTAGCGATTGTCTAAAGTTATAGTTAGTGCCAAAATTAGTCAAATAAGTAATGGAATAACTCCTGAATTAGCGAAAAGTGAGCGCATCGTCAGTGGGACACAAGTTGGGACACAACCCACTCCAGCATCTCTTATACCAATATATTCATACTCTTTTGGAATCTCAGTTTCTTGGGATTCATTGGTGTGATCGGTGGCAGCGGTAGACTATATTTGCCTCATTCTAGTGTTCAGTGATTCGCTTCACTCTTACATTCATTCATTTATTGTGCGAACAAATCCATACAACAAGTGACCAAAAATGGAGGCAATCAAGAAGAAGATGCAGGCAATGAAGTTGGAGAAGGATAATGCGGTGGACAGGGCTGATACCGCAGAACAGGGCGCCCGAGACGCCAACCTCCGGGCCGAGAAGGTGACCAAATTAGGCTTATTTGTAATCTAAATGTCTAATGATTTTCATAACTGAATTCTACATTCAGTCGGAAGAGGAAGTGCGAGCCCTGCAGAAGAAGATCCAGCAAATCGAGAATGAGTTGGATCAGGTGCAGGAACAGTTGGCTCAGGCCAACAACAAACTCGAAGAGAAAGAGAAGGGTCTCCAAACCGTAAGTCTATTACAAACTATTCTTTCGTATATATTCTTGTGTTTGTGTGGAAAACAGAATCATTTGAATCTCAATACAAATTCAATGCAAACGCATTGAGACCCCAATCGCATCGCAAACGAGTTTTTCATATTTATGTTTTGTCTGTATTTAAGTTTTCGTAAAAGAGTTTTATATAATTATTAAATATTTATGTCATTAAATGATATATTCGTGAGAATTATTTGTTATAATGTATGAAATAATCAAAACAAGAGCTTAAATGGATTTAAGAGTAATATTCGTGATTAGCTGTTAGGATGTGTTAAAGAGATCTAATGAGCACTAAATAAGTTCTTGTGATGACGTGAATGAGCCGTATTTGGTGCGAATGGAGAGCAGCATCGGTGCCAACAATGCTAACTGTGCTCTCAGTCTCAGGGCTATCACATCATAGCTAATAAGTGCTGTTTATTTCGGTTTCGTTACGCCTTTTATTTGCAAAACTTTATTTGCAAACCGAACCGAGTCTTCGCTTTTGCCAAAAGACACTTCTTCTCCAATAAGTTGTACAACACTTCACTCTATCACACATTCCTTCCATTCAAACAACTTTATACACATTGTTTTCAACGCTTTTTATAACTTTGTTTATCACATCCGACACACAGATAACTAATCATACTTTATATCCTTTAATTCATTTATTTGTATTAAACAATATATAAACACATAATATTAATATTAATATTGTACAGAACAGAGTAGACATACAGTGTATTTACAAATAATTATTTATTTTCCATTTTATATTTTTATAAATAATTTACAAAAATAATGTTAAGTAGTTTTAAATATAATAATTATTAGATTGAATAGAAAACTGATTGAGAAATTATAACTTATAAATTATCAGAAAAATAGTTTTGATAAAAGAGATATATTTAAAGCCAAAACATAGGGCGAGACAACAGTCAAAGAAATTAGACATTTGTTGAAAAGACATAGAAATTTGCATTCATTATATGAATAGACAATCAGTTATACCAATGAAAAGACAAAACGAAGAGCCGGTCTGTGAAGAAAGAGTTATGTCAAGAAGTGCTGGCGATGGCTGTGATGCCAGCGATGGCTGCGATGGCAGTGAAGACAATGGTTCCGATTATGGAAACGATGAGTTCGCAGACCTTCGCTGTTCTAGTCTTCAGACAGAACTGATTCAGAGGCGTAACCGCCGACAGCCGAGCGCCGGATATCCCGGTCTGGCCTTTGGTTCGCCGATGTTTTCGGCAACTCTTATGAAATTAAATCTAATTTCAAACGAATTAAAAAAGACATACAGTGTATTTACAAATAATTATTTATTTTCCATTTTATATTTTTATAAATAATTTACAAAAATAATGTTAAGTAGTTTTAAATATAATAATTATTAGATTGAATAGAAAACTGATTGAGAAGTTATAGCTTATAAATTATCAGAAAAATAATTTTGATAAAAGAGATATATTTAGAGTCAAAACATAGGGCGAGACAACAGTCAAAGAAATTAGACATTTGTTGAAAAGAGATTTGCATTCATTATATGAATAGACAATCAGTTATACCAATGAAAAGGCAAAACGAAGAGCCGGTCTGTGAAGAACGAGTTACGTCAAGAAGTGCTGGCGATGGCTGTGAAGCCAGCGATGGCTGCGATGGCAGTGAAGACAATGGTTCAGATTATGGAAACGATGAGTTCGCAGACCTTCGCTGTTCTAGTCTACAGACAGAACTGATTCAGAGGCGTAACCGCCGACAGCCGAGCGCCGGATATCCCGGTCTGGCCTTTGGTTCGCCGATGTTTTCGGCAACTCTTATGAAATTAAATCTAATTTCAAACGAATTAAAAAACATAAAAAATGTTATCATCAAAAGGGTATGCAATCTATCGGTTGTTTGTTTGAATACCAAAACTATTCACTCATTTAATTATGTCTTTCAAACTCTTATCTATTAATCGGTTTAAGAATTCCTTCGCATAATTGCTGTCAAAGTGTTTAACCATTAATTGTCTCGACATTAAGTCTGTAAGACTTGAAGACGTGTTCGCAGACTTGTCTTCATATGTATTTCCAGCAAATATTATGCTTTAAAGTGATTTCAATGTAATTAATGTGAGGAACGGGTAGAAAGACATTGTTTAGCAATGCTATGGTTTAAGTGTATTGATAAATAAATCTGGTTTTTGTCATATAATGTATAATTACAATGACCTCAAGTCCTCAACCATAGGACCTCTCAATTGAGCCGTTTTGCAGGTTTTGCTCAAACTTTCAATACTTTGCGACACAAACGCCGCAACAGTTATCCAGTTATGCGTTCACTCATTGCCTTCCCTTTCCCTCAATTGCCTCTAATATCGTTTCCTTCAATCCCTTCCATCCCTTCCCACTCCTCGGCCCTCACAATAAACCCAACCATCAGTTTATGGTATTATCACTTGTGGTCACAAATTACGATACATTCAAAACTTTATTACCGTTGAGACCGAGAATGGGTTCAAGTGATCGGTGTCTCAATCTCTTAACTACCGATTAAAACCTGTTGTATGACTCGTATTGTAGTTGTTATCAAATTACTAGACGTATTGATGGATACGAATGATGCCATTGCCTAGGCTGTGATCTCAACGGTTTTTCCAGGGAAAATGCACTCAAAAAACTAATTTTGCAATTAAACAAATAAACAAAACAAAACAAAAAACAAATTAAAAACAACATATTTTAATATTTGAATAATTCGATTCTTAACTATAATTTCAAAACAAGACAATTTTAATCAAAAAGTTTAAATGACAGAATACAGTTATTGATAAACATAGATTACAATGCAATAATATGTAATAATAATACAAAACACTGCCATAAAAGAAGTGAGTCCACAATCACACCATTGATTGTCTGACATGTTGTACAACAACTGCCCATCCCTTCAATTATATGCCTTTTTTCACTCCCAATCAAATGCATTGCAAACTCTCAATACCTTTAGTTTTTAATACAAAATAAGTTTGTATTACAAATTGTTTGCCACAAAAAGTATCACTAAATTTGATTCAATCCTTTAATTCAATTGTTTGCCAATTATTTTCTCGAAATATTTACTCGTTTTATGACTTTATTAAATACTTTGATGTTTTCACACAAAGAGTTAAATATTTGGTTTAAAATTTAATTTTTGAAGAAATGGTTTATTTTATGGTTTAGTTTATAATTGAATTCAAAATCTATGAAAATATCTTTTAAGACATTTTTACGAAATTAGAGATAAATTGTGATTAAATGAGTGAATGAGTGGTTCAATGATTATTAGATAAGAGATAAATAAATATGAGTCAAACCCACAATAAATTGCAATTTACATGAAATGTATAAATGTTTTGCAATTATGATGTTTTGTAATATTTATTTGGTTTGAAAATTGATGGCAAATAAGTTATTGAATTGATTAGAAATGATTACAATTGAATAAAATGTGAAACAAATGCATGAATTAATAGTGAAATAAAATGCTTTTAAGTGAGTTTATTCTCATCGCAAACTGTTCTTAAACTCAGTAATAATGTATTGTAACCAAACTTAAGACGTGAGTAAAAGTGCGTTTGAATACAGTTTGATTAATATGTAACTTATTGTCATATCTGAATATGGTTTAGAATTAATGTTATGTTAAACACAATGCGATTGCAATTCGGGTCAACATTTGTGTTGAGTTCACATGTTTTTCACTAAATTTTTATTAAATTTTTTTTATTAATTATTGGGATTATAATAAAAATGATGATTAAATGATGAATTAGGCTGAAGGAGATGTGGCGGCACTTAATCGTCGCATTCAACTCATTGAAGAGGATCTCGAGAGGTCTGAGGAGAGGCTGAAAGTGGCGACCAGTAAACTGGAGGAGGCGTCTCAGGCCGCAGATGAGAGCGAACGGTAGGTTTTCCACGCGTCCACTCTCTGGACAGTCGTTTACACTCATGTCGTCTGCGATATATGTTATAAACCAATACTTAAGTCGTGAAGAGATGTCTAAATTGATAGACATTTCGATTAGATATTGAAAGAAATTAGTGTTTGACAAAAGGACTGAATTTCTGAAACAATTAATACATAGAATTAGAAAAACATTGGAAAACCGCACTAATATGGAAGACGACAGGATATCAGTCCTCGAAACACAGTTATCTCAGGCGAGACTCATTGCTGAAGAGTCTGACAAGAAATATGAAGAGGTAAGGGTTAGGCTATCGGTTATCGGTGACGGGTTTAGTAATACATATATTTCTACAACTCAGTGGCAAAAATTGGTTATTGTTTGCAAATCCATTACAATATGTGATATTTTGACAGTTTTATCATAAATGTTGACAGAAAAGAGTGTTTATGATTAATAAATTTGATAATAAAATGTTTGTAACATAGTTGATGGGTTGATAATAGCTTGTTGTGTGTATTGTGTGGTATAGTATGCGAAAGATGCTGGAACACAGAAGCATCACCGATGAGGAGCGTATGGAGGGCTTGGAATCGCAGCTCAAAGAGGCCAGAATGATGGCTGAGGACGCAGACCGCAAATACGATGAGGTCTGACAACCGTTGCAATTATGCCTTGTTTTACATTTTGCATCGATTGCATGACCAGTCATTGTCTTCCCTACCATTCTTTAATTTACTATATTTTTAGTTTCAAACGTTTTTATAATCTTTATATTTTTTTATTGATGTTTATTATAATATAATAATATTTATAATTATTATTGCATTTGTTTATAAATATAATTGATAAATATATTTATACTATTTATTTTAATATATTAACTCCAATTCTTATTAAATTCCGAATAACAACTATAACTAAGAGATTTACATGAGATTTACTCAATCAATGGTTTCGTATTTGCTATTAATATTTAAGATAAAAGTTGCAACATTTGTCCGAAATTTATCACTAATTATAGCTTTAAATAAATAAATGAATTATTTGTTGTGAATTTGTTTAACGTTAAGCATTGATAAGTAATAATGAAAGTATTAATTTGAATAACTGACATCACTTTGACTCTATTGAATGGGAATTGTTTAATATGACTGACGTGTTGGAAGTGATGTGAATTCTACTAACGATTGTTTGAAAATTAAGTTAAATTAGACGAAACGGGAGAAATGATTGTATAAATTGTATGAATAGGTGGCCCGAAAGCTGGCAATGGTTGAGGCAGACCTCGAAAGGGCTGAAGAGAGAGCAGAGACCGGGGAATCGTAAGTCTTATTCATGAATTGGAGTTATGATCGTCGCTAAGCATTGCTTTAACAGAATTCACTATCATCTTTATATTATTTATGAATTACTATAAAGTTTTATATTATTTATAATTTTTGCCTGATTTGCCACTGATTTGATTATATGATTAATAACATTATAAATTAAATTTATTATAAATTAATTATATACGATATCTCCTAACTATTAGATATTGACCCCAATGTGCGGTCCTTTAATTATGTCTCTGATATCGTATATAATATAATATTTAAACATAACTTATACAGTAATTTACAAGAAATTTTAAGCTAAACTAATCTAATAAACAATGTGTTTGTAATTCTCTTTCGCTCGCATTTAACGTGTGTTTAAACAATCGATTGCATGAATGCATGGTTTGGATAACTGTCCACATCTAAGATGGCTCGACGTATAGCTATGTTGGAGGCGGACTTAGAACGCGCTGAAGAGAGAGCTACTACTGGCGAGGGGTATGTCTTATAATACTGACCACTTTTCAATCTAACTCTCGCTGTGATGGCCTTCTTGTGAATTTGCTAAACTAATCATTCAAATCTAGTTTAATTATTTATTAATTCATGTTTTTTGCTTTCTTCAGCAAAATCGTTGAACTCGAGGAAGAGTTGCGAGTCGTCGGCAATAACTTGAAATCACTTGAAGTTAGCGAAGAAAAGGTAAGCGTTTTCTTTCAATATTCTTTCTCTTAACGATTTTATAAATGTTTTAATTAATGCGAATTTAATATTGGATTGTGTATTATATCTGCGCTTCTCTTCTCTTAATTTTCAAATTAAACACTTTTTATACAGTTTTGTGTTTCTAAATATCCGTTCCTTTCCTTTTTAATCCATTCACTATTTTGTGGATATTTGTATCCAATTCTTGAAATTATTTCCTTCTTTTATTTTGTCAATTTTTTTTACAAACAATGCATTGATTAATATTTTTTAACAATTTTGAGCACTTTTGCTAATATTTTTTCAATTAATGCGAATTGTTGTCTGTTTTGTAAGTGTTTTGATTTTGCTTCGTTTATAAGAAGGAAAATCCACTAAAAACCCTAAATTCCTTTTTTGACAATATTTTGATTTTGTTTGAAAACATTTTGAAACTTTAGGCCCAACAAAGAGAGGAGGCGTACGAACAACAGATTCGCATTTCTACCGCTAAGCTAAAAGAGGTGAGTCTTTCTAATGTTTTACCCGTATATTGACAGGCAATGCAAAAGGAGGAGACATATGAAATGTCTATAAGACAACAGAGCCAGAGATTGCAAGAGGTCAGCGCTTGTCAATCCATTCGACGATATGATGGCAACGGATTGACTCATTTTTGATAAATCATTGGTTGTATTATGAGATGAATTATATGATTGTATTTTGTAGGCCGAAGCGAGAGCCGAGTTCGCCGAGAGATCCGTTCAGAAACTCCAGAAAGAAGTGGACAGACTTGAAGGTATGACACAGAATGAGACCATTTTATTGAATTGAATTTTGATGTGGTTTTATTGAAATGATTTGTGAACTAATACTTGAATGCCATAAGAATTGTTGTGATGAATGATTAACCGATTGCTTACAAACAGATGATCTGTTGGGCGAACGCGAAAAGACACATCTCTTGCAAGAAGAGGTCGAAACTACGCTAAAAGATTTGCAGTCGATGTGAATTTAGTTGGCATTTAGGCCCCAAAAAACAATTAACTTAACGTTTCAATGATTTTGTGTTCGTTTACTAACTTTAAATTTTATTAAATATTTGTCATTTGCATTAATAATAACGATATAAACCTTATATACAATACAATACTGCCTGACATTGGATGCACAGAATCACGCATTTTATACATTACTTAATTAATCAAATCGTCATAATATTAGTAACGCTTAATTATTATATGCTTTATATGATTGCATCGATTGGATATGTCTTAGAGTACGTATTGATAACATATTTATAACCAATTGTGTTAATACTAAATGCGATAACAGTTGTTGATCTGTATATGAAGTGATTCTAATGACAAACAATTGAATGCTATTTACAGACGAATTGGTTCACGAGAAGGAGAAATACAAATCGATTTCGGATGAGTTGGACCAGACTTTTGCCGAACTCACCGGTTATTAAATGGTTAAAACAGTTTATATTTGGCTCTTCTGTTGTGTTGAATCAATCGTTTTCTTTAAGACAATACATACTCCGATCCAATGCTTTATACACTTTCGCTCTAATATTGGTTTTATTCCATAAAATTCTTATGATTTATAGTTATTTTACGTTTAATATCAAGAAAAAAGATTCAAACGGTTTTAAAATATATATTTACTTTAGATATTATTTTAAATATCATTAAATCATTGAACGATTTATTTTATATAAAAATTTGTTAGCAAAATATTTAACACAAAACGAATGCTTTGTAATCATTATGTAATGACAAAAGAAAAGCCGATCTTTCAATTGAAGAGCAAATTTATAATACATAATAGTTTCTTTTATTTCAGAAATAATTTCTGAGAAATTAATATTTTATAAAATTTTTGAAATTTTGTTAACAAAAGTGAAATTAAATTATTTAAACAAAATAAACTCGTTTTTTATCTGACTTCACATATAAAGTCCAAAATGAGTTCCGCTTCACTCGAAATGTCAATCAAACAAATTATTTAGTTTTAAAAACAATTTTATTCAGCGCTGAGAAGAATATCGAGAGCTCTGTCCCTATCGTTATTACAGTTGACTAAAGCTTTAATTATATCTCTTTTATCGAAACCAACTTCAGATAACTGTCGAAGCGATTCCAGAAACTTCTTCGCCTAAAATGAACAAAATTTGTGTTACTTTTCATATAAATTCAATTAACAATTCATGTGTTAAATCTATTAATGCAGTCTATAAACCATTAATAAGTATACTTCACGTTAGAGTCGGAGTGTCGTCAGTATTGGCCAGAGAAGCTCACAGACGTGAACGTTATCTTTCAGATAGTGAAAAAACACCAGCAATACCATGTGTTTGACAGCTCTGGCCACTCGACTCCTTTCAAACCCCATAGAACTAATAGAATTGACAAAATCTTTCGAGTATTGGGACAACTCTTCGTACGGATCATTGAGTACAAGAGTTTGCTTTTCACTCATATATTGTTTAGATTTGGTTTTAGAGGGCGCACAGGGAGGGGTGTGAGACCGTTGTCTTCTAGTTGTCCGCACTGTCTCTTCACTATTAACAAGAGTCGGCAAATCAGAAGCACTTTTAGACGATCTCAAGAGATTGTGCTGAGAGTCAGGCAAATGATTAGTTGCACTGGAATTATAGCCCGTATTAACACAACTACTGCCGGCGCTTAAATCACTCGTATTGTTGTAAATGCTTGCTGTCGTCCAATGGCTGTTATTGAATGGTTGACCAGAATGTGGGGCCGAAACAGTGGCCAACGGTTGTTGTGTTTGCTGTTGGTGTCCATAAGCGCCCAATAAGTGACTCCCATTCATGTTATGAAATGACGATACGTTTTGTTGGCAATTATTTTCATTACAATTATTAGCGTTACTATTATTGACAACATTTTCATCACTTTTACAATTGGTTTCATTCGTTGAGTGTTTAGTTTGAATTGATTTACTCTGAAATGCCTGAAACACATCGTTGAGTGCCTGCATATCATCGATGGTCTGGAGCTCAACGTAATCAAAAGGACTGGAAGTGTCGCTCTCGAAGTCTTTGACTAATTTTCTCTTAATATTCACATTGGGATCAATACTCCGATCACTTCTATAACTCAAATTATCACTCAGTCTTGTCATAGCGTCCACTGTTGACAACGGTTTAAGTATTTCTCCGGCTAAATTTACTTAACAAAAGAAGCGAAGTAAGGACAGTAGGCAAACACTAAATTCTGATAAATATAACAATAATGAGAAGTCTAGGTTAAATCTGTAGCTAACACTGTTATCAAAGACAAAGACAAAGTCTCTGAATTCAAACACTTCTAACGCATATAATTCTGCACTAAATTTGTACTGAATTTGCAAACAAATCGTCAAATATTGCAGACATTTAGACATTGGGTTATGGCTTACGTCGGCGTCAAAGACATCGGGAATATGTGTCTCCTCTTCGGTATAAGCGCTCACATCCAGAGGTCGGCATCTCTCAGACAATCGCATCGGTATATCGTCGACATAGACTCCAACTGATCCACACATAAACACATGATATAAGCATTCATTAAATCATTTGACAATCACTTACTTTCGTGGCTTTTATTTGTCATCTTTTTTGTGGTCAAAACAAATCACTTTTTAAATGGATTTGAGATTTAATTTATAAAACTATTTACAAATTGACACAAAATTACATTCATTTCATTAAACATATAAACAATGAGTCGTTAAAAACAATTAGTATTAAAATGTAAACAATTTATTCACTAATTATAGTAATTATGTTTGTATTGAGTGTTGAGTCGAGTGTTTGCAACACAAATGTCAACACAAATAAAGATTTAAATGAATTGTTTTCTTCGCTTCATTCCTGTCATCCGTTTGTGATTTAAGACTATTTATATTGTTATTACTCTTCAGATCCAATTTAGACATCGATTGTGACAATAGTTTCTGTTTCTGTTTATCTCTGAATTCAAACACTTCTAACGCATATAATTCTGCACTAAATTTGTACTGAATTTGCAAACAAATCGTTAAATATTGCAAACATTTAGACATTGGGTTATGGCTTACGTCGGCGTCGAAGACATCGGGAATATGTGTCTCCTCTTCGGTATAAGCGCTCACATCCAGAGGTCGGCATCTCTCAGACAACCGCATCGGTATATCGTCGACATACACTCCAACTGATCCACACATAAACACATGATATAAGCATTCATTAAATCATTTGACAATCACTTACTTTCGTGGCTTTTATTTGTCATCTTTTTTGCGGTCAAAACAAATCACTTTTTAAATGGATTTGAGATTTAATTTATAAAACTATTTACAAATTGACACAAAATTACATTCATTTCATTCAATTATATTTGTTACTCAGCAATTTTTGTTAATCATAATTTTACATTTGTTAAATAAGTGATTAATATCATTAATACAAACATAACTCACAACTCAGCTCACAAACGTTGTGTTTACAGTTGTGTTTATTTACCATTCATTTAATGCATTAGTCATACGCGTCACGCGTGTTATGAACGACCCCTCAATTCATTTGCAAAAGGCATACAACCATTACGTGACGCCAAATGCCGTAATTCTTGTCCCCCTTTTTGGCACAGAATTATATTCTTGAATACAGAGAATCCGGAATATTGTGAACGACTGACCGAAACGAGCCGTATATGCAAAGTATGACCACTTTGTAAGTGCTATGCATTTCATTTACAACCATTAATCCACTTTATTTACATTAATGCTATTATTTTATGATATTTGCATTAAGTTTGTATCAATCATATAGTTTTGTAGTGAATGTTATGATAAGACAACCCCTAATCGCATATGAAATCACTTCTGGACTCCATTATCACAGTTAGTGTTGAAGTGTTTGAAGCGTTTGTTTCGCAAAACAATTAATTAATTGATTGAAAGTTGCGTTGAATTAGTGAAGAATGAGTGGAAACGAGTTGAAGACTGTGCCATACGATCCACGCTTTCCCAACCAGAACCAGACCAGGTATGAGATGATGAGACAATGAATGGCTGTTGCGGTGATTGTAGTGGTTGTGTATGTATTGCAGGAACTGTTACCAGAATTATCTGGATTACCACCGCTGCCAGAAAGTGAAGGGCGAACAGTACGAGCCGTGCAAATGGTACAAATGGGCCTACACTGAACTCTGCCCCGTCTCATGGGTT